AGGGCAGAGTGGAACTGGGTTCCTTATAAATAGAAATATCGAAATGGAGGTATGGTCATTCAAAACCTACACTCATATTTTTAGGCTGTTAATAGACCTTAATAAAATTCAGAAGACGGCACTTAAAATAATACAAGTAGATGCTCCCACTACAGATGCAGAAGAAAGTAAGATTGAAAAATTTTATTTAGATCAAGAATAGAATAGCAATTGATGAGGGAAAGTATAGTCAATTAATAATAATCGGAGATTTTAATTCAAAAAGAGACAGTGAAGGTAACTCAAAATGTATGGATAAATTCAGAATAGGTGAACTGAATAGTAGAGGAAAAAGACTAATTGAGTTTGTGGAAGTTAATGGTCTTTACATCATGAATAGTTTTTTGAAAAAAATCCTAATAACAAATGGACATGGCAGAGCCCAGATAGAAAGACAAAAAATGAAATGGACTTCATAATTGTTAAAAATAAGCAATTAGTGATCAATATGGAAGTTTTAAGTCACCCTGACATTGGCAGTGATCACAGACCAGTTGGAGCAATGTTGAATAAAAAAATCACAATTGTAAAACATAAAAAGAAAATAGGAGATCCAGTAAAACTAAATAAAAAAACTTAATAAAATGGAATTTTGAACATAAGTTAAAATCAGTCTTTGTCTTCCTCTTCATGCCATTACTAGCGCCGAGGAGCCTCTATCCAATGCAGCCATGCCTCTCGGTCCCTACTGAGCCGCCTCATTTCCTGGAGGGTTTTGCCTCTCTTCTCTTCAGTCCGCTGCATATACTCCTGATAGAAAATTCTGGGGCGGCCCCTCGGCCTCCTCCCAGTGGGTCGAGCTTCCAGAATCTTCCGCAGATCTCTCTCCTCCTCCATCCGACAACCGTGGCCAAACCAATTCAACTGTCGGTTTTCTAGTAATGTCTTTAGCTCTGCCACCTCCAGGTCCTCTCTTATGCGTTCATTTCTGACGCGGTCCCTCCTGGTCTTTCCAGCAGCCCTCCGCAGAAACTTCATCTCGGCTGCTGTCACACGGCTAACTTGCTTGTCCAGCATAATCCAGCTTTCGCTTCCATACGTGAGGGTTGGGAGGTATAACGACTTGTATATATGCCTTTTTGTTTCCTTGCCAACTTCCCTGTGCCCTACTATAGTGTTGCTGATAGGGTAATATACCTGATTGGCTTTGGATATCCTATTCGCTACTTCTGAGTCAATCTTCTCCTTGTTGCTGATAATTGTACCCAAATAGGTGAATTCTTGCACAACTTCAAGAACCTCCCCGTTACAGATCAGCCGGACGTCCTCTTCTTCACTTGATATGACTAGGACTTTGCTTTTGGAGCTATTGATAACCATACCTTTGCAGAGGAGTTCTTCCTGCCTTCTACAAGGGCCTGCTGCAGCTTGTCTTTCGTGTCCGCTATCAGAACGATGTCATTGGCATATAGTAGCCTTTGGACCATAACATTCCGCAGATTCCATTTTCCGACGACCGTCCAAGCTGTACGACGCTTACAAATTTTATGGATTTCATCCATGAACATGATGGACAAGAGGGGACTTAGGCTGTCTCCCTGCCTGACTCCTCTCTCCATTAGAAAAGGCTAGGACTCTCTACCATTAATCCTTACAATTCCTTTTGCTGCCTTATAAGCCGATCTAATTGCCATGATAAGATCAGCTGGAACATTTTTTGCCACCAAAGCATCCCATATTTCTTGTCTTGGAACAGAGTAAAATGCTGCTTTGAGGTCCAGAAATGCCATATATATATTCTTGTCTCTGTCCCATGCTTTGCTGGGATGCCTCTTAGCACAGAAATAACAAACTCATTAAAAAAGGTACTTGAACAGATTAAGGAAGAGAATTCCACGATAGACGGAAATTGTCGAAATCTCCCAAGAAAGATTAAAAATCTTCTAAACAAAAGAAGAAATTAAAAAAAAAATCTGGTGTGTCCACTCACATGACTTTCCTACCTATTCCAGAAAAGTTTTTATATCTTTACATATGTTCATGAAGAAACGAAAAAGAATTGAACTATATACATTTTCCTGAAAATTGATCAAACATAAGATTTGAGTACGATTTATTTGATAAACTAAAGCAATGTAAAGGGGCTTAAGATAGATTAGTGTAAAAATTTCAATACTTCCTAATATTGCTGACCAAAAACTTTTTGGTATAGCTTAGTACTGTCAAACAATAATTTCTGTTAAAAGTAGAGGAAATAGTGAAGATTGTGTGATGCGGGAAACAGATTTTCTTACTTTCACTTAATCATCTTTATTCTCTCATTCACCCCTTTCTGACACCAGAATATGAACCCATAATCATACTTTGGAAACTGTATAGCTGTAACTTCGTTAATAGTTGTCCAAAATAAACGATTTTTATATGGCTTTGTAGGGAATTTCATTACCTTTCAAACGACAGGCTAATTGCAATACTTTCCTTACTTAGTATAGGTAGGAAAGTAAAAAGCAGCAAGATACAAGACAACTTAACAAATTAATCAGAAAGGAAATTGAGAAGTGGTTGAGAGAAAGGACGGTAGAAAAGATCCATGAAGCTATTAAGACAGGAGGTAAACTAAAAGAGGTTGGGATTACTAAAACAAAATTGACTGTTATTTTAAATGAAAATGGGCAAGAATCAAATGATAACTTGGAGATAATTTATAGAATAAAAGAATATTATGAAAAACTGTATTATGATAAAAGAAAAGATAAAAATGCGGAGTGGAACATAGAAAATTGAGATCCAAAAGACGAAATTATGATTGCAGAAGTATTAGGTGTAATTGATATTTGTTAGGAAGAAAAATCTGGAGGTGTTGACGGTCTGACTATTGCACACATAAAGGCTGGGGGAAATGGTTCTAGTGCAGGCTCTCATTCACTTATATAATACATGCCTTAAGAATGCAAGCTTTTCTGAAGAATGGGAAACTGCAAAACACATAATTCTGCCAAAGAAAGGAAATAAGAGAGATCTAAATAATTATCGCCCATTAAGTTTGCTCTCAGTTCAGTTTTATATAAAATATTTTCTAAAATTCTATTTAGAAGAATAGAAGACATATTGGATGTAGAACTAGAAAAACATCGGCTTTAGGATGAATTACTCTACTGTAAACCATATATTTGTGATTAAAGATTTAATTAAGAAAGCTAATGACTACAATCTGTCAGTGGGCCTCCTTTTTCTGGATAACAAAAAAGCATTTGGCTCTCTAAAAACCGATTGCATTATAAATATGTTAAAAAGAGCAAAATTAGTTCAAGAATATGCAAGATACTGGAAGATATGTATTCGAAATCCAATGCAGAATATAAAACAGAAAGTAGAACAGTAAAACATTTTTAAAGGTGTGCGACAATATGATACCCTTTCTCCTAAAATGTTTATATCAGTTCTCCATGATTTGATGCAAATGATGAATTGGCAGAACAAAGGAATGAAAATTTTTGGAGGGTGGCTGACATTTAGAGTTTGGGAATAATCAAGTCCTAATAGGTAAAAATAAAAAAGAAATCCTGGCGATGGCAAAACAATTAATAATGTCTGGAGAAAACAGGGGTCAAAATAAATTATAAGAAGTGCAAGTATATACTAGTGAATGCTGATGGAGATATAAAAATAGACGATCACCATATAAAGAAAGTAGAAACATTTCTATATCTTGGGCACCTTATCTCAATTAAAGGACAAACTAAAGAAATAATCAGGCGATGGCGATGTACCCAGAGATGGCACGCACTGTTCAAATTTAAGGATATATATATATAGATCCTTGGTGAGCTCAGAGGTCAAGAGAAAACTTGGTATGAGCACAGTACTTCCTATCATGACATACGTTTGTGAAACATGGGTAATAAACCAGAAGACTTGTGACAAATTGAGAGTAATCATCAGAGGAATGGAGAAATATGTTCTCGGAATAATACGAAAGGATAGAAAAGCAAATAAATGGATCAGAGCTAAGACTGACCCCAGATATGGTGGAAAAAGTTCACATCAGGAAGTGGACCTGGACTGGACATGTAATCAGGAGGAATGATATAACATGGACCAGGCAGTTTATGGATTGGTATCCAAGAGATCATGTGGGAAGAGAGGACGCCCGCCGACAGACTGGGGCAAGGAGATGAAGAAGACCTGCGGGGGAGTAGCCTGGAAGAGAGTAGCATTGGAGAGGAAATAGTGGAAACAGATGAGACAAATTCATTACATAGTGTGGTTCAACTAAAATGTTGATTTTGTACATATACAAATGTCAAGTATAAATCAAAATGTAAAGATTTTGTGTGTATCTATTTTTTTATCCTTTTTTTTTTGCATTGTATATACAAATAAAAGTTATTATTATTTTCTTAGCTTTCCAAGATTTCTGGAATAGCATTCACATCCCAGAAAAACATTTAAGGGCAAGTAGATGAACGTAAAAATAAAAAAAATTACTTATTTAGAAAGACCAGACTACAAATAAATACTGAGCACATAACTGTCTATATTATTTTCTCAGTATTTATTTGTAATCTGATCTTTGTGCAGCACTGGTGAATCCCTGAACCTTAAGCTGAAACGTCTGCATTAAGAAAATAAATATAATTTATTCTCGTATATTTCCAATTACTACAACCTGCAAACAACTTTTGTTATAAAATTAAAATGAATCATTCGTACTGGTACTTTGCCCAGACTAACATTTCTATTTATTTTTTGTTGTAAATTTGATGTCCTAAGGTAAACAATAAAACATTTAAAATATATTTTTATAAAATAAAAGATTAATAGTCTAAAACATTGACATCAATTTAAACCTTTAATTTTTATTTTCAAAAATATATTTTTTGTACTACAAACATCTAAATTTGATGTGAAATTATACATTAATAAAGTTTATAACAATAAAAATATGTGATGAACTCGTTTATTTAACTTTTATTAAATCAATTTTAACAAATTGTTTAATGTAATAGAGTTTTCCTGTTTTAGAAAATATATTTCTAAAAAAAAAATTATTAATTGAATTTAGAAAAATAAATGTAATATAACAAAATTTGACATTGTTTTTATAATAAGATTTATTTTTAAATGATAGAACCGGAAAATACATAATTATAATTATTATACTTATCAAAATAATTACTAGTATCAACAAGTGTCTGACTTCCAATCCATATAAATTACAACAATTTTATTAATAAAATTTTTTTTTTTAACAATTAAATATTAATAAGTCTATTATAATATCTTGTCAATGATCAATACAATATGTATATTTCAGTATGTCTTATTTATCACAGTTCAATGATAACTAGCTGTAACAAATAAAGTTGTTATCTAGCTCAAGGATTCTAGAAATTTATTCAACTTTTCACTATCCCACAATCTAAGACAATGATGGAAAGTCAGTCTTACGATGGTAGTTTAACTTAAAAATAAAAATACAATTATTACTCAATTTTCTTCAATTTCTAATTACATTAGAATAATATTCTTAGCTATAAAGACAATTTTATAGACATAATCTAACAAACACAAAAGAAGACCAATCACAACAGGAAAAATTTTCCCAAATAATTGTTAAGATTACGTTTGACAGGTCTGTCTTATTCTATTTACTTTCAGGATTGCTTGAAGGACTTTTACCATTATTATTACTATAACCAGCCAATGATGCGACGGTTTGCTTTCCATATTCACCAATCGCACTCATTCCCTTCATAGCTGGTTCTACCACATTTGTGTTGAGAGCCTCTTTGGTTTTCTGGGCCAACTAAAATACAAAAGTAGAAGAATCTGATTATTTCTTTTGTTTATGTATGATATCGAAAATATTAATGAAACAAAAAAATAATGAAGATAGTTAAGTTTTAAAAGTTATTATTTGTGCATTAAAATTGAAATTATGAAAGTTAAATTATATATTCAAATATGCATCTCAAAAGGTTAGAGCGACCTGGAAAAGCTGTATCATTGTTTACTTTTGATTTCCATGCAAAACAATTTTTCATATGACAATAATAACAATAGTGCCAGAATGATAGCCTAGAAAAGTAGTAAGATGAACTAGTGAGTACCATCTGGGATCTAAGACCACAGAGATGTCCATAGCCTTGTAATAGAATAGAAATACAAATAAAGGTTAGCCAACATATTTGCTTTTCTCAATTAATTTCATTGGTGTTGCCTCTTCAATAGACCAAGTTGGAATGGTTGCTGTTTTCCGATTTGAAAATTATGGCTAAAGAGAAAATACTTAAATGTCAATAATGGGATTAACATAACAAGTATATGGATAAATAACTAGTCAAAAAATAAATTTAGAAAAGTATAATATCATAGTTAGACTATAATTTGTTGTAAAAATTATAAACAACTCCCTTTTTTATACAGTCTCATTTATTTTCATTTGGTTCTCGGAGCTTTCGGTGCTCTACATTATATTCATCTTTTCAAGCTAATTCAATCCACTTTGGATGTCATTCTTTAAATTGTTTTTGCTTATTTCATAGTACCACCGAATATGGAAAAAATAAGGTGAAATTGGTGTCCTCTCTCCTCCTATAATAAATATATTCTTTATACATACAGTATGATTGGAAATAAGCAAAAACAATTTAAAGAATTGCATCCAAATTCAATGGAATTAACTTGAAAAGATGAATTTGGTGCAAAGAACCGAAAGCTACGAGAACCAAATGGAAATGAATGAGACTGTATAAAAAAGGGTGTTGTTTCTAATTTTCGAATTAATTTATTGAAAAATTGTATTAAAATTATTGCAATAATTGTAGAAAACTATTAAAAAATTGGCAAATCTAGTGATTATCTAAATCAATTATTAAGGCCCCACATTATTACAATAAAAAATATTATAAATGTATATTATACATTTCAACTCCTTTGCAAGTATTCGTCAGTACTTTGTGAAAGGGAGAGCAATGATCAACTGAACACATACTTGTTGTTCAGAAAAATAGTGATGAAGAAATATTTAAAATAATTGTCTATAATTGAGTTATTTCACAGTTTTTGTCGGTCATCTATTTATTTTATTATGTTTATAAGCAAAAGCTGGTGATGGTTATCATTGCCCTCTCTGGTATAGATACATTGGATTGATAAAGTATAAATGGTCAATAAAACAAGTCTTACAATAAGTCAATGTGGAGGCACGGCGGACCGAAGAACATCTCTTGAACAAAATTTATCTAATGCTCAATAATATTATTTGCTTATAATTTTGTATCTTAACTAGTTTACAAGCTAGAACAACCTAGTATGGTTTATTATTAAGAGCGAACATTTGGCAATATTCAGTTAATTTAATTTTTAAATATATTCAATTAGAACAATATTTTATTCAGCTAATCATCATCATCATCATAATCCTTTCCCTCTCTACCGCTGCACAGTGTGAAGATGTCTTGACCCATGTGTCCCTCTCCTGTTCCAGCTCTCTCCTACTGCTCCAGTCCAGCCTTCACTTCCTGAACGCCACCCGCACGCCTTCTTCCCAGGTGATCCATAGTCTTCCTCTTGATCTTCTACCGTCCACTCTCGTCTCATACATTATCCTGGCCGTTCTTTCCATGTTCATTCTTAGGAGGTGCCCGAACCATCTAAGTTTATTCTCTTCTAGAATGGTTTTACCGGCTTTATCTCGAGGTTTAATGTAATTGTCGTATTGCGGATCCTATCTCTCCTGGTCTTTCCCTCAACCTTTCTTAGGTACCTCATCTCCATTGTCTGGATCTGTATTCAGCAAATAAAGAAGATAAACAAAAATTCTAATCTAAAGACTTTGTCTACTAGGTAGGTCTGGAGGTGCAGCTTACTTTTCCAATAAAGTAATGATATTGTTGCATGGGACCCAGCCACGCCTCCTAATCTGATGGATGGCTAGCATAACAAGTTTATTTGAAAAAAAAAATCTATTTCTAAAATAGTGAAAACAACAACAACAAGATGTCCAAGAACTTATAAAAACAAACCAGAATATTAGGATAAATTAAATTATTTTGAAATTTATATATAGATATGATTCAAGATTTTAACTGCATCACCGTAGAATAATTATATATATCCTATAATATTTTCAACTTATCGTTTTTAATTCTTATATCTTTGTATTCAGCGATTTTATTATTCCATAATTCAGAAGAATTATGGTAATTGTCATAAAAGACGAAGTCCATTCCAAGTTGCCCGCAACAAGCTATACCAATCCGAGGGCCGTTGGATAGGCAATGACAATGTTTGACACGTTGAATCATGCGGATAGATGACACATTTGACAGGCAATGGCCAACTTGTAGCATGCGGCAAGAAGACATATTTTTTGTCGCATTGTGTTTCTTCTATGGAATGAATGTGTGAAGCATGCATCAATGCCACATGCTACATGTTGCCTAAAAGTTGCCTCAGTGGAATTCTGCCTTTGCACTCAATAAGTTTCATCTATGGCGTGCACTTATTAGGAGATGGTCAATTTGGTTGAAGGTGTTGAGGTCTGGGGAGCTCCATGTTATTTTGTGTGTTCTGCAGTCATGATAGAATGTGGTTCCAACCATTTAGTTCCAAGAAGTCGCAAAATTCTCTGACCATTTTCGTTACATTCCTTATGGATACTTGTTATATATAAAGAAAAACTAAATACATGTTAATGAAGAGGGAGATGGAAGGCACTAGATATATCAAGGGAGCTGGATATCTTTTCAAAAGTGTACCACAATTTAATTATCTGAGCATTATTAACACTGAGGATAATAATATAACAGAAGAAATAAAGGCAAGGATCACAGCTAGTAAAAGATGTAATTTGCCCTTAACAAAACGAGGAAAAGGATAAGATGGTTGAGCCACATGTAAAGAATGGAACACATCAGGCTTCATAAAATGATGATGGAGGGACTCTCGAGTGGAAGAAGGAAAAGAGGTAGGTCCTAGACTTATCTGACTTAAAGATTTTGATCTACCATTTTGGATGTAGTCGAATGGAGAGTGGAGGCTGAAGAAAGGTAGGTTTGGAGGAAGATAGTAGAGGAAGCCAAGATCCTGCTAGGACTAGAGCACCATCGGATGATTAAATAATAATAACCAAAAATATAAATTTAATTTACTAACCTCTCCAGGTGGTAGTTTTATTGCAGGGATTTTTTCTTCAACAAAGTCAATACCAGAACACAGCACTGAGTCGACTTTTTTTATTGGTCCTTCTAATTTTGATGTAACTGGCTGTGCTGATTGTGCTGCATTTCTAACCGTATTTTCTGCAGTTGTTAGGACAGAATTCACTGTTTCACTTGCTCCCTAAAGTATCATACAATGAAATATTAACAAAAAAATTAAGAAAAAGTTATTAAGCATGCAAAAAAAATAAACTTTTACAATTCTTGAAAATAGAAATTGAAAAATAAGTTCCTTAAATAAAAAGTTACTAAAAACAAAGATCAACTGAATCAAACAACTTCACTGTCAATGTAATATTTCACATATTACAAATAAATATATGCAAATAAAATCTGCAATGAGAAATTTTTACTTTCCCAACCACTCATGAAAACAATCATATTAATTTTAAAACTTCAAAAATAATTCATTGCTAAATAAAAAATATTTTGATCAAAGTAAAAAAAAAAATTGAGGGAAAAATACTAATAAAATTTTAAGAACATTTATGAAAAACAAAAGTTAGATTAATCTTTTCATCTTAATTTCTGATCAACTTAACTTAGTGTTAAAATAAAGGAGAGATCAAACTAAATGATGTAGTATGTTAGTATTTTTATTGAATTTCGTTTTTTATTATTGATCTGGTCAGATCAAACAATAGACAACTGGTAAATGTTCAAATTTGTTTTTTAATTTATATTCTCGTTGCAAGTGTGTTTTTTTTTTCATTGAAAAATATTATCTTCTTCCTGACATCTGTTACTGTAGTATAAAATTTCTCATGAAGTGCAGTTAGTTATTAATAGTTCATAAAAAGTGAAGTACTATTACTGAGGAAACTAGTTCATTTAAATTATAATTACACTTCTTGAGTCGAATACATTTTTTCTTTGTATTATGAGAATTATTATTTTTTTGTTTCATGAAAATTTGGATTTTATATATTTTTCTTCTTCCCCTAAATATTTATCTCAATGTTCTAAACTTTTGATCGGATATTATGCAAAATCCAAGTTTTGTGAAGCTAGTTAAAGACTTAAGTGCACATCTTACTCTCATGAGAAAATCATAAAAAGAAAAAGAAATGAGATTCATAACAGAAAAATAATATTTTTCATTTTTAAAGTAATTTTTTGTAGAACCATTCAAGCATGCAATGATTACAAATTACTGTATCAACAGTCAAACAAATTTTAAGTTAAATAAGTACAAATCAGTGAAATAATGATAATAAAAACATTATATAAGATATTCATGCTACCTTCAGTTTTGAATACATTTCTGATGCCTTGTTTATCGTACATTCCACTATTGGAATTTGAGCAACTTTGCTAAATGATTCTAGTCCAGAAGCTCCATTTTCATTTGTCTCGGGTTTCTTTGTGTCTGCCATTATACAGATAATTTAAAGGTTGTAGGACAAAATAAAATAGAAAACTGGAAAATAATAATATACTCTTTTAAAGTTTATAAAAAAAAAACAACACTTATAATATAATATCTTAAATCTTAAAAAAAAAATCTTAATATCTTAAAAAAAAATCTTAATATCTTAAAAAAAACACTTATAATAATATAATTAATCATATACAAAAAAAAAAAATAAATAAAAAATTCACAGATATAAACAAATAAACAGTCCGAAAATGTTACTTTCTTAATACAATATTACTTTTCTTTCCTTTCAATGTATTATTTACTATGATGTGATCTTAATTACTAATATGAAAATTTTATATATATATATATATATATATATATATATATATATATATATATATATATATATATATATATATATATATATATATATATATATGATGTTAAAATATTTACATTTCGTGTATATAGAATCTTTAGTAATAAATGATAAATGAAAATTTATAGTAATAAATGAAAAAAAAGAGAAATAAACCTATTCTTTTTTTTGAAAAACAATAGGAGCAAGTTATGCATATAAAAATTAGTATAAATTATAGCCTAATAAAACAAATCTTTGATTATTTTGAAATCTTCCTCAGTAAATATAAATAATCAAGCATATTTTGATATTTAATTTAATAAATTTTAACATTCTGACAATTGAAAAAGTTCAACAATCTTTAAAGATCAAACAAAGTGAGTAGAACAGAATTTTGGTATGTACTCAAAACTTTGTATTAGAATCAAACATTAAAAAAATATGTTATTTAGATGTAGTTAAAATTTCTTTTTCTTTTCTGTAATTTACATTTAAATTAAATAATAAATTATGAATAATTTCTCCCCACAATAAGAAAAGTAAAAACGTTTTTTTTTCTTCAAAATAATCTAATAATTGCATAAGAAACATTAAAGTGAGTTCTATTGTACTTCAATATACTAATGAGGAAAGATTTTGAAAATTTCGTTTTTCCAATAAATAAAACAACCAAAATAAATATGTAGTTGTAAAATATTCCGGTCCATGTTAGTAAATTATGAATGAATTCTCACTACTTAAGGTGAATTAGTTAAATGAAATTGTCTCAAAACGAATTATTTTTAGATAACATGGTAATACTATGTTTAGTATTAATGTAATAATAGTATAACCTTGGCTAAAATGTAAATTAATTATTAAAGTGTATTTAAATTTTTATTTATTGCAATGCCTATCAAAAGTTGTTATACTTGATGAACCTTATAACACACAGACAGTTACTATCAATTAAAAATACCATAAATATTTTATTATTACGGTTACATAATGATTACCTCGATTGATCACTCCCTGAAACAATAAATAACAACCTCACTAAGGCACAGGCAAGGACTGAGAGAGCAGAACAAATCTGACCTGTGTTGGCTAACTCAAGGCATTCTACTTTAGATAAGATGTTTTTTATAAACAACTACATAACATTAAGTTTCTCTATAAGATACATGGGGATGAAAGCAACCCAATGTAGTTTTTATTTGTTTCTATTAAATCTGTTAGTTACAATTTAGTATTTAGAGATGGAGGAATGTGGTATTATAATTGTGTAAAATAAGGAACTGTAGTATTGACATTCAAAGTAAGCAATATATACAGTTAATAAAACTAAATCAGATATTTGAATTTTTTTTTCAGTTTTTTAAAGATTAAATGTAAAAGAAATGCTTTTCTACCAATTTCATATAAAATTAAGTAAACAATTCATTATTTTTTTTTTTTTAATTTCAAGAATTCAGAGATAAAATTGTAATTGTCAATGATTATATATATATATATATATATATATATATATATATATATATATATAATATATATATATATATATATATATATATATATATATATATATATATATATATATAATAACTATCAGGTTTAATTAAGATTTAATTTTATGATTTGTGTGGATTATTTATACCAATTATTAGTTTAACTATTTTGAGTAATATAGACCATTTATTATTCATTGTAATTAATTTTGTGATTCTTATATCCTATAAAAAATATTTGTCAGTTGACATTATACTTCTGGTTTTTAATTTAATTAAAGATACTTAAAGTAATTTAGGTCAAGTCAGGCTAGAAATTTATATATTTTAATTTTTTTTTCCCCTTTCTAAATCATTGCTAAATAAGTGGTTAAACAAAATTAACACATCACATTGACATTTTTATGTTAAGCCATTATTAATAACTTACTTATTTAGCAAATAAATCAGTAAATAGAGAAAAATAAACAATTATTTATGAAAAATATTTAATATTTAATTTTCCTTTTAAAAAGTCACTTATATAATCAGAGCCACAACTTCTATTCAGACTCGTGCTAATATCTTCGGCAAGAATTATGGCAATTAATCACCTTCGTATGTCCTAAAATAAGTTATTAAGAAATTCCTGTAGTATGTTGTCTGACTCGTCAGTAACAACTGTTTCCGATTTTTCAAGTGAACTAGAAATGGATTTCTGGTACACTTTTCATAGCTTGAACAGTACCCAGAAATGTACTATCAGATTAAGGGTCTCTCAACCTCTTTCATGTCATTTTAGCCCTAACACAGTTCAAATGTTTTTAAACAATAATGCTGTGAGAGAAAATACCTGCTATGTTCGAAGAAAAATCAAATTTGGATTGATAGTAAGGAAATAAAAGTGACATAAAATCCGTAAATAAGATTGGAATGACAAGAAGCTGTTCATTATCTCCAATTAATTACTTCACTATTTACTTGAAAAAGCCTCTAAAATTTCAATTTATTACACCAATGTCATGTACATGAATATGACTAGACCATGATCCCAAGTCCTATGACTAGAACTAGCGGAGTTGAACTGAGTCATTATTTTTATTCATAGTGCACATTTAGTTGTATTTTTGTAATACAGTTGTGTTTCATTAAATAAAACTATTTAAAAATAAATAAATGTTAAATGTGTAAAGATATTTATAAAATTATAATAAAAATAACAATAAACTTGTCCTTACTGGTAAATAAGGTTAGTTATAAGTAATAGTCAACTATAGTTTCTAACAAAAATGTCTACAGAAATATTGACAATATTAGGATATGTAAAATGTGTATACAATTTAACCCCAACATTTTTAAAATTTAATGGACAGTTGCAACAGAATATATACATATATATATTTTTTTATTTTATTTTCTTCTTCCCTTGCCTCACGCCAATACAGATTTTGGTAGAAGTAGTTGATAGATGTGTATATATATATATATATATATATATATATATATATAGCTGCTGAATTATTGTTATGTCATCCAATGTCTAATCTAGTTTTATATTTCTAATCTCAATGAGTCTTTCCACCTTTGGTAAATTTACTTATCTGAAATTATGTAATTTATTTCTTTTAAAAAAGATATTTCTTTGTATATGTCTGATAATAATTTGATGATATCTTCGCTTACAATAACCTATTTTATTTAATTTGTAGGATGTAAGCTCTTAAGAATCCTAGATTTGATGAACATGGAAACTTATCAAAATAAATATAGATTTATTTCACTATTTTTTTCAATTAAATAAGTCCTACTGCCCTCCTAAACCTATAGAGGTTATCTTGTTTTTTATTTAGTTAATTTTTTTTCTGAGGGAGATTACATATTGAATACGATTTTTCAATAAAAATAAACGTTTTGAAGTTTCCTGAGCCCACTTAACTAACTCTTGTTAGATGGTCTCACACTGATAGTTCATGTAAACAGTTTAGCTCGAAAACGAAAAATCGTATAATCATTTAAATTATGTTTTCAAGGCATGTATGTGCCTGAGATGTTTTAACTTTTTCAAATAATTGATTTATTGGAAGTGGCATTTTACATTAATTATTTTACAAATTTTAGATAATTCGAAAGATCTGAAATTGGTTAAAAACTATTATATCGTATTTATGTAACGAAAGACTGAGAAGAAGAAGTTGAACTTACTGAAAATATTTTCAGATAGGTTTACAGATTGGAAAACAATAAAACACTTTAATAAAAAAAAATACTTTAATAATGTTAGTATAATAACTTTAATCCCGATAACAGATTTAAATAATTAAATATATACTGGACGGTATTTAGCAGTAAAAATGAGTTAAGCCCTCCTTACACGGTCAATATCATTGCGTTAATATTGCATATAGTGACAGTCTGAGGGATATATTGTAACAATTAAATTGACATTTGTACTATGTATACAACGTTCAAGAATATTGCATCAATATTATTGATTCAATAATATTTGCCAAGTAAGGTGGGCTTCAGATGTGTTTATGAATGAGACAAGTCTTTACAATTTTTTACAAGTCTTTTTAACAGAGAATTGATGTTGAAAGAAAATATTGATAGAATTTTTATTCTTTATTAAAAATAAAAACAACCAAACTATCAATTTTTGATCAATCTCTTGTTATAGTAGGAATACCTTGGGTTGGATAAAATGTAAAATAATATTAGGCTAGTGACAAATCCTGGAGGTATATATTTAAATTGACTGATGGAATGTGAGGTTTTCATTGTCTATTTTCTATATTCTGATTTGAAATGTCAGTAAGAGAATTCTCTTTGAATTGAAGTTACTCAAAACATGTGCAATGTGGATCGGGTCCATTCTGCTGTATGCTGTAGAAATAGCATAATCTGAGCAGACGTTTAATTATTGAAGCAGGGTGGTAAGTGAAAGCTGTGTGATGCACTCCACACCAGATTGGTTTTCAAACTTATGAGTTGAAGGTAATAAACAATAGTGAAGTAATTTTTAGTATAATGAAAATATCTAAGGAAGGTTATTCAGAGAATTTTTCAGTAAATTATTATTTTTAAAAATTTAAATCCAGTTAATTCCAAAAAAAATATATAGAAATATTTTTAAAAAATAATCATATTTGAAGATTTAGATAGTTGGAGTACAGGAAGTGTGGAACACAAAAATACTATTTTTCATTATAAAAAAAATATGACTGCTAATCACTACTAGGGATGTTATTAATATATTAAACCAATGTATTGGTAAATGTAAAAGTAAAAAAAAAACAACTAGGTGGTAAAAATTCTTTGAAGAGAATTATATCTTCAAATAAGCAATCACCTTTAAATAGCTAAATATATTAGTTTATTATATATTATAAGCAATAAATATCTTACCAGATACTAATGTAGATGCGTATTCACTGCTATGTGTTGATTAGAACTGAAGCTGGCACGTTCTAAATGTTTCAAGAAGGCTATGGTCAATCATGTGATAGTGTCATGAGTCTCCCTCCCGTCTTGAGAACTTTCTTATCTTGAGCTACCGATACAATTCCAAGTCTAGTTCCCTTTCTTTAGTCATGAATTTAATTAAGTATATTGAGATCAACCATATGTGCATAATCGGTCCATAATCTCATAGTACACATGACGAATAGCAAATAATTTTTCTTATTAAATTCCGATTTCACTGACATATTTTGAACAGTCTGGCTTTCTATCTAAAATTTTTGGAACCGAACGCATGGTGTGATGGAAAAAGTTGCAAATAACCACACATTTGTTTCAAATAGTACACGATTAAATTTTTCATTATTCAAGTAGTTGATATCACACCTTAGTAGATGTTAAGGCAAGTGCAAAATAAAATAAATTGTTGAAAACTCACATTTAAGTAAAGTTTTAAAGAAATATCTTCCAAAACAATAAAATAGAAATTTTAATATATCTTGAGACATCCTGATACTGCTAGAACTATAGACATAATTTCGATTAACTGCTATTCAATGTATTAAAAAAAAAGAAACATAAAAATTTTTTTTTCTTATATCGTGACAAAACGTCTTTTCCAAAAATGTTAGCTGAAATCATTCCTTAGAATCACGGTAATCTTGGATTTTATTTTCTTTAAATACATTTAGCATCATTTACGCTGGTGATGAATCAACACTATGTAATACGGTAGTGTAGATCTCTTTACCAGCTCTCAAAAGTGACGAAGTCTGATGACTGAGCCATCAAACGAGATAGAATGTAGAAGCGATGAATCATAATTTCAAAACTTAAAATCGTACTACAATTATAATATAAGTCATTAAAAAAATTAGGTGGTTTCAAAACAGATAGTTTCAAAAGTCGGCGCATCGAGACGGGATAAATTGCTTTTTAAATATTTCGAGGCGGACATCATGGTTCCATAAAACTCTACTGTGTGCTGCGTTTCCAAGACCTGAAATGTACCGTTTTTTAAATAACGCATGAACCCAACCTTATTCTAGCAATAGGGAATCTTGATTCTACGGTTGCCATGGATTCTTAATCAAATAAAAATTAAAGTATTGTATTTATTGCAGCCTATGTATCTTTATATGAGTCTTTCAGTTGACAGAATGACTAACTCCAATTTCAACATTTTTGAGTAAAGCCATTTTCATGATATTTCTTGTTGGAAAATTTATGATATCTGTATAGACAGTGAGTAAGTTGATTCCAGAATAGATGATTGCAGTGTTGGAACATACAACTGTGAATAAATATATAAATTTCCCCATTAGAAATATCACTAAAATTAATAATAAAAAATATTAAAATTGGACTTTGTCATTCTGTCAACTGAAAGGCTCGTATATTATTCTCATATTGTTTTTTTTTTTTTTTCGATACGGCATATCTTCCTTGATTCTTCATCAAATCCAATGATTAAGCCATCATTTTAATGATTGTCTTCAAGTTCAGGTGCTAAAAATGAGACATCCCTCAGAATAGTCAGGAAAAAAAGTTATGAAGAAAAGGAAACATCACTTGGACATTACTCAAACAGTTATCTAACAGTAATTTGCTAAATAGCTAATATCCGAAAGCTTTGAAATTTCTTCACCGATCGCTTTTGAAATTTTGATACAAAGCTGCAACAAATTCAGGTGTGCTTTTATATAAATTTCATTGTCTTTCATTTCGATATGGCGGCCGAAAACGGGATTCACTTTATTCTGTAGCGCCAAAACGGCTATAAAGATTTTAATAAAACTTGGCTTGTCTTCCTCTTGAAGCCTTTATAATTTATGTGTATATCATACTTTCCCGAAAACAAGCTGCATAAAAATTGTTATGTTGAAATCAGAATTTCATTAAGAAATAATTCAAAAAGTACACTATTTGTTATTGGTAGTACCCATATTTATTTGAAAGAATTACATATCTCCAAAATGAAACAATATGTAGCAGCCGTTGGAGCAAAGTGGATTCAAATATTTTTTTAAGGAGAAGAAAAGTTGAGATTTGTATTTCGAACCTCGAAAAACCCTCAAATACGAATTTTCATTGGATTCGAAAAATAAAAATTTGTTGGCTTAAATTTTCGCTGAGTGAGGAAAGTGAGTTCTAATATTTTTTAGAAAAAAGTTACAATGGATTCAAATTTTATTTGCCTGTAACTCAAAAAGTAAACAAGTGGTACTGCACTGCTTTCATATGTATGTAGTATAAAAGTGAATGTACGAATAAATAAAAGTAGAAAAAAGTTTTTGGAGAACTGCAAATTCATTTATGTTTTCCTCACTTGTCCAATAATGATTATGGTCGAATTTCGACCATTGGGCGGACACTAGTTTAAATAAAAGCATTGTGATTGTTTAAGTACATAGCTCAGATTACTCAAAGAAACAAATATTGGCAAATAAAAAAACAAACTATTTTAATGTTCTGGGTTAAATACTATCAAAATTTACTTTTTAGTACAGTTCTATTGAAACATTTGTAAATAGGAGAAATAAGTACAAAATGTGTAGCTTATTTGATTATTTATATTATTTGTATAAATAATATACACATGCGATTTTACACCGAACTGTTCTGTCAGCCAGGGTTGCCCACAGGGGATTTCATGGCACAAGTTGCGCCATCAAAATTTTTGAGGAGTGCAAATTTTGACAGGGTTTTGAATTTTTGAGGGGGCCACATTTCGACGGGGTTATGAATTTTCGGATTGAAAAGTTGCAAACCGAGGGACAAGAGAAAAGGACAGTACAGACCTTTAAATGTGTAATTGTATATAACATATGATTTTTAAAATTTTACATTAGCTTTCGCTGTTTTTAAGAAGAGAAGAGAAATGATATATCTTAGGAGGAGTCACAGGCGGCTGAAGCCCCCCCCAAAATGGTAAAATGTAACCATGTTTTGCGGAAAAAAATATTAAAAACTATCTCTTAAAGTATTCTTGTTCGTGTAATTATATTTAATAGGACTTCAAGAACCACTTAAACACCACTTCATATAGGTAATTAATTTCTTTACTTTTTTTCAAATTAGTTATTGTTATATGTATATGAAAAAAAAATCTTTCGGGCTGAAGCCCCTCCCAAAATTAAATCCTGGATCCGCTAGTGGGAGGAGTCGAGGGGGTTCATGCGCCATGGATCTAGGGAGAGATGGGCTCATCTGACTCAAGCTATAGTCCACTGGTCTAGGTTTACAAGTTATCAGGGAATCTTCGTAAACTCTATGATCCGATGTAAGGTACTGATCTATTGACTTACTGATGTCAGTTAATCATCACATGCTGGAAAGATCCAAGAAACGTCTGTCAGACCATGTGTTTATTATACACTGGCAAAATTCATTGATTTTTTGTCATTAAAAATTTACTTTCTAGGGAGAATTTAAACCGATATTAATTATCGTCTTGAAAATTGCACAGCTTCAGTATCTAAGAACACTTAAACAATTAAGCTATCAACTATTAATTTATCCTAAAATTTACAATTTTTTTTTTATTATGGCAAAAGGAATTTAGTGATTGTGAATCACCAGAAAGGTACAATTAGGGTGAAAAAAAATCAGCTTTTTTAAAAAAAAAAATTAACAAATTTATACAATGTTTAAAATCGATATTGTTTTTAATATTCAATATGCAGGTCATTATTTCCTTAGTCCTGAATTCGCTCATGGAATACAAATTTGAGGTCCTACCCTGAACAAGACTTTCAGCCCAAGGTCATCCCATCCATTGTAATTTTGTTTAAATGAAAATTACCCAGACTATTCAGAAACTTTTTTTTTCCCCTTATCTAATTTTTTTCCTCGAAAGGCCCCCCTTTTTTTATCTTACTGGTACTGATACTTTTACGGGCGCGAGAGAATAGTGTGGCAAGTTAGCCTTGTAGTCCTATTTGCCAACCCTGGCGGCTACTGCCTTTACATTTACCTTTATATGAACACAATAATGGAGCCATTGATCGAGGATATTCATCGATTTCATTTCAACCATCAAGTTGAAGTAAACTTTTGAGGTTAGTTTAAGTGTTGCCCAAATGCAAGACCGAGATGAGTCTTGGTCTTGCAAACTCTTGGTCTTGCGCAAGAGTCTCTCAACAGCCTTGCAGTTACTTATTAGCTTATTACTATAGATTACTGTATTTTTTTTAGATAGGAGAAACCCAACTAAACTCGAATGAACAATTAGAGGAGTTAAATGCAAAAGTATATTGGTTATACCAATTATTAACATATAGCAACTTAGATTGTCAAGTATAAGTGACTATTTCGACTTAATCGATTATATTTTTCAGTCCTGGTCTTGGTCTTGCAACAGTTAGGCATCCTAGGTGTTGTTCTTGCAAAGTGCAAGACGAAGACCGATTTTGGGCAACACTAGTTAGTTTGTTGTAGATTCAGCTGAGCTAAATTTTTAGGATATCATGTTGATTTAACACGTTTTTGAAATTAAAGCATAAAAAAAACTAAATTATTAAATTATTTTGTTTTCTATTTGGTCGAAATGTCTTTTAGTATGTTAGTTTATGCAGTGCGCACCCAAGGCTCTGCGCCCCAATGCGCCGTATCGGTTGCATTGGGGTTATCTACGCCATTGGTCGTCATGTTTCGTGGTGGCTTTGATTAGATATCACGGAAACTAATAATAATTAAGGTTGCGCCACAATGGGAGGTTCAAGCATTGATGATGTCACTTATTATATGATGACCGTATAATCATAATGGGCTTATTTTTTTCCCGTTTTCTCGATATTTATATTACAAACGTTGAAGGTCGGCATCAAGATGAAGATGCACGTACATAATGTGATCACTCGCTCCGAATTGATTACAGTAGAGTGAATTATTCGAAGGTCATGGCACGTTGAGTGTTGATTAAATTGTGTTGTTCGCTAAACAAAGTTCAATAATCGTAAGGTTCAAAGATATGTCAGAAAGTAAGGTACAAAGATCGTCACGTTTACTTCACTCTTTACAACTCTCATGATAAGTGATGTATTGTTGAGTCATTACGCCCATTCATAATATAATAAAGCAAGTATAATTAGGCCTCTAAAGTGGTGTAATGATAAATGGTGTATAACCAATGTATATATATATATGGTGCCTGGACCATTTATGTTAATTGAATATAGTAACGATCGATTGTTAAAACTACTGTACTAATTTTAAAGCACAATTAAATATAATAATTTATCTTATTCCATAAAACGTTCCATTTTTATGCTCGTATAAAGTGATATTTAATTCCAATAAGAGGCTTGATAACGTTTCTTTAAAATTAATTTTCCCATTAAAGAGGGAGTACAGTGGTGTTTTCGGTTTTCATGATTTGTAAAAAACGCGTAGTCTCTTCATCGGTCGTCGATTCTCTTGAAGTGCCACAAAAAATATATTTAAAAATAAATCCTGTACCACTACAACCCATGAAGGGTCTTGGGTTCAGTGCTATTTAGGGAAAGCACTGTTTCTTGGTCGTGGTCGACGGTTGTGCAAGGAGGTGATTTTACCGAGATCACGCTCAACCGCCAAGTTTTTCCCCCTTTGTTAATTATTTTATTTAAGGGTACCCACTTTATAAAGGCTGGGTGTACCCCAGGAGCTTCTACCTACTCTTGGTCGCCCCACGGTCAATGAAACAGAATAAATAATATTTCTGGCATGAGCCGGGATTCGAACCTGGGACCATTACCAGTTAAGTACTCTATCACTGAGCTACCCCACTCCACAAAAAAATATATGAAAAATGTAAATTATAAAAGCCGAATGAATCCCGCTTTTATATAAATTATCTGGCATTTATATCCATCTGAACTATTAATAAAATAACTAAACATAAATATTTGACTAAAGTTTCTACAAAATCTTGTCAATTTAGACCAGTTGAAACATAAAGACCAAAACACCACTTCCAAAAATGTATAAACGTCTTCTATTAGCGTCCAAACTAAATATTTCCCTTCTTTAGAAGATTCCCGGATATCTAAAACTGTTTCGTAACTAAAACGAAGAAATATATACAAAACTAATCAGGTCGCGATTGATGATTGAGTAGTAAACACTCAGTCCGATTTGAGCAATTCTTGTAGATCAGGGGAAACAAATTCGAAATATATAAACACTAAACTTTTCATTCTTACCGTTTCAATCCTCCCCATTTTTTCAAAAGGATTGGTTATCCGTTACACGTTCAATAGTCAATATCAATAAAATGAAAATAAAAAAAGATAACGAAAGTAACAATATCACGACTCTTGAGGTTGGTCTCTAACATTGTAAATTATTTTGCTTGATAATAAAAGGAAAATTAAAGAAAACGATCACTAACCTTGTACTAAACGTTTTAAGGTCGACCAAATTTAGACGGAAGTATTGTTATAGCGATCTTTCAGACTTGGATTTGTGCAGGGTTTATTTGAACAGAATCTATGTTACGATCGTTAGTATCACTATTGAATCTCATAAAAACCCAATAAGTATTTGAATTTGTAATATATTATAATTATCTAAGATTACAACAATTGTTAGGAATTAAAGGGTTCAGAATGAATAAATCAATGTTATCATATATTTTATTTTACTTTCATCTCAACAGCTATTACATATGTTATGAATCAATGTTTTAAGACAATAATGCAATAGTAATAATGCTATTCTCAATTAGTAATTTTTAACATATAAAACAGAATTTGTATTCTCTAATATCTAAATACAAGTCTACTTATGACCGGATTCTGTAGTCTGTTCGGTATTACTTCTTTCTAGAATGTTTATTACGCTGTTTGTCAAAATTATTCTCGCAATTGCTAAGTATCGTCTTAGAAAATTGATTTACTACCATTTCCAGTGAATAATCTATTTTCGTTGATATATCTGACACAATGTATAAAGAATGATAGGTTTTCATTATCCAGAAAAGAAATGAAGATAATTATTTTTATTTTAAATAAATTTATAAGGTAGTCCTTTAAGTGTTTTTTTTTGGTAATATTTACGTTCAGGTGTGTTAAATCCTTTTATATTTTGCAGTTCTCAGCTTTATTGTTTCAAATTTCCTCAAATAAATTGGTAAATATCCTTCGTTTTAAGAAACTCGGGTTAATTACGATGTATCTCTCCACCAAAGTGTTTCTCTCCCTATTGAACAAGTAAAATAAATATTTGAAAAACAAAAATTAGAATTATCTCTCTTAGATTCATAATGGGTTGCTCTATTGTACACAATGTAAGACAGAATTCATAACACGATTTTTAATTATTCTATAACATGTCATATATGATCTCATGAAAAGCCGATTACATAACTCTAATTGTTTTCGGAACAGTAGTTGACTGTTTTCAATACTAATTTATGTCAGGATATCCTCCATTATGTTATCAAGTGAAAACTAGCACATAGTATTAAAAAAAATTGTCCACAATGAAATGAAGTGACATATTAATTATTACAACTAATATTTCAAACCTTTGAACGGTTCTACAAAATTATATCTATGATTTTTTCCTACGCCATGTAATGTACTATTACTATATTTAAAGTTTATGATTCTATTGATTTCAATAACCGATCTAAAAGAAAAAATATATATCTATCACTTTATGGAATGTAAATATAAAAAAGTATAGAGCAATTGTCAAATATAGTATGTTTTTTCTTCTGACTTGGACTTCCAAACGTATAAAGATAAAGTAAATACAATTTTTACAGTACAGATCTAATAATAGCTATATTTTTAATAACTAATTTTTTCTCGTGTAAGGTAAATGGTGATAATGATTTTATAAGTGTTTCATTAGGCATTTTATGAGATTAGTTTATAAAAGCCTTAAATATTGGATTGTCCGGGAATCAATATAGGTTTAAAAGAAAACAAAATAAAATAAATGATACGAAACTATTTGTATTAATTAAAATACGCTCCATTACTCATGATAAATTTCTGCCAACTTTTTGTTTACTTTTACTATTCCCTTGGAATAGAATATTGAACCGTTAATGAATTTTGGTAATGCATTTTCTAACAAATTTTGATCAATAATAGTTTTATCGTTTAAAAAGTTGTCCGGATGCCTAAAAACATGTAATTGTTAGGCGAGAGATCTGGAAAGTATGGCGGGTGAGGTTTGAGGCTGCTTCGGCAAAGAAGTGCTGTGTGAAGTTAATGAGGAAGATTTTTCTGGTAGTCGATTAATCGTTTTTATCTTTTTCATTTACAATGAGGTGGTCAACGAAGGCCGATTCGCTAACTGAGAGTTTCTCAGCAAATTCCGGAACAGCTGTTGTTGAATTTTCTTCGACCCACGTTCTCAGAACATCTTTATCAATGGGAGAAGTCCTTCCACGACCCCCTTTATCTTTAATGCCCCAGACTTCATTAATGTTACTGGCCTTATAGGCTGCATTCCGACCGGGTTTAAACTCGTTTAACTAAATTACGGGAAAATAACTCTTTGACACTTTACTAAAGATTGAATTATTTTCAACCAGTGAAATGATACAGAAAGTAATAAACATTTTCATTTGAAAGAGAATTAATAATTGTTGACATAAATACAGAAGAATGACCTGAAACGCAAGTTTTGTTATATAGAGGTTAATAATCAGAAAAAATGAAATCCTGCATAATTTTCCGGACAACCCAATGGATATATACACTACTATATGGATGTATAATTTTTATTATGTCACGGTGATATATCTATTTCTCTAGAATAGTTCTAAGAGACCCCAGGTAGATCGCTCTACCCCGACTGGGCAAGAGAAGCAGGCTCAAATCCCTGCCACCTGCAGACGAGCTCACCCGCGACAAGAACCTCAGACGGAGGACTCGTAGATGATGATCTGGATGATGTTGGGCTTGGCCTTCGGCTTGCCGAAGGAGCTGACAATGCTGTTGACTGTTTTCTCCCAGTTCTCGGAGCCCTTGCTGTTCTTGGAGAGGCTAAAAAATACTTTCCTCAGATCTCCTTGGAAGGCGCTAAGGTCCACGGCCGTCTGTCCACTCCCCCCCTCTCCCAGCCTTCTCAGCGCCTCCGCAAGCGCCTGCAATCTCTTCCACGACTTGGCATATTCCATCCTCACGATTTCGATGATGGTGGATGTGAGTCCGAGCCCGACCAGTATATACAATGTGCACAAGAGCATGTATTGAGGTTTCTCTGTAACAAAAACATATTAAACAAAATGTTTTAAATTATGTAATGATTAATGCATATTCACAGACTATTATGCTGTCACAGTATACGGAATACCCGAGGGAAACATTCTAATCATTGAAATATTCGAGATCATGATTAATCATGAGGATTTAGACAACAATATCTTTGTATGAAACAATCATATGACCCATGTTGAGCTATGCCTGTGCTACCTGGATCCTACGTAAGATCCTGGCTGAAAAGATTGACAGGTTTGAGAAAAAAGTGTTGAAGCGAATCATGGGGCCTATCTGGGAAAATGGTTCGTATCTCTTGAAAAGGGACAAGGAGATCTATAACATATACGACTTTCTCTGAGCTTCCCATTTCGTGCAAATTCAGTGCCCCAAATAGTTGGGACACGTAATTAGGAAGGATGGTGGTAGCAGCCAGGCAGCTATATTAAGAAACTCAGAATTGAGTCAGACAGCGCGGAAGACCGAAGGGAAGTTGGAAAGACTCAGTGACTGAGAACTTGAGGACAGTACGAGTGTCCAGTACTCGCTCTTGACCGTAATAATTGGGAAACGACAATTGCGAGGAGCTAGGGCAGATTCAGACGCCTGTCGAGGAGAGTAATAAAATAAAATTTAAAAAAAAATATCCGAAAAACAACATATTTTAAATGCTTCCTTGTAATTAATGAGGTTGGGCTGTAGTTGGACTTTTTTTTATCTTAATTCAGAATCAAATATTTGAATTATAACTCACGCGGTACGAGATCGCCGAACCCAATGGTCGTCATGGTAATGAAGCAGAAATAAAAGCTATCGAAGAAGTTCCAGTCGTCCTCGAGGTGCATGAAGAGAAGAGCCCCTATGGCAAGGAAGACGAGGAGCAAGAACAGCGCAACGAAAGCAGATACAAGAGACTTGACGGTTGTAGACAGTGACTCCATCTTGGACGCCAGGTCGGGGAGCGACCCTGCCACCAGGATACCGAGGTCGGCGATGACGGTGAGGCAGAGGGGTATCCCGATCAGAGCGAACAGGAGGCAGAACACCCGACCTGCTGTCGTCACTGGCGCGATGTTACCGTAACCTGCAACATGAAAAATTGTTATTATTAATATTTTTTATAACAATTATTGCTAAATGTACATAGTATGTCATCCCTCACTGTCCTTTTCCAGAATCACCTCAATGACCACAGGGCATCCATTCATTGCTTGCCTTGAAGATTTTTTGTACCTATTTTCTATTCATAATAAATGTTGCTCTAAATTGAAAGGTCTAACCTTTGCACCCATTTGGTCATGCCTATCCTTTGTAACACTCACGTCAACCTACCTTTGATATATTTAAAGGTTATAACTATCGTATTCTTCGTCAATTGTTAGATGTAAGTTTTAACACCTTTGTGTACACGATCATTAGAAGGAAACTGTGCACAAAAGTATCGATCTACCGAAATCTTTCTATTACAATTTTACAACATTTCTCTCTTTTTCTCCAATATTCCTATCGAATCCCTTCCGAATCTCGATGTTTATATTATCCCATATGAATATGCAGATATGAATTCCGTAATCATAATACTATAACCTAATTGAGTGATCCTTCTAATTAAAGATCAGTCATGCTCAATAAGACACTACCACCAAAGGGCAGTGGAGCCTCACGTCCAGCCAGGAAATCCAGATACCCTGACGTCTATAAGAGAAATGGCACTGGCCTGGCTAATAAGGATTGGTTGTAGTGGTACAGGCTTATAATTACTTTTAATTTTTTTTATTGCCTCAGTTATAACCCGTGTAGCTTCAATCGCATGTTCATAAAGTAAATTCATAATTACGTCATTGGTATAAGGGATTGAAATAATAATGGTTTATTCCACTTTCCAAGAATAAAGAATTATGGTAAGCTGATTAGATGTGAACTTTTATTGATATCAGGAGAGCTCAGAAGGGGATATCATGGCGCAAGTTCCGCCATCTAATTTTGAGAGGGCGCATTTTAACGGAATTTTCAATTTTTGATGGAGCACATTTCGACAGGATTTTGAATCGTCGATTGGAAAGTTTCAAACCAGGAGACCAGAGGGAAACATGAGATACACCACAGCAAGTTTAATTTAATAATCTACGATTATTTAAAGTCTACTTTCGCCTTCACAGTTGTTTAAGAAGAGGAGGGCAATAAATTATTTTGAGGTGAGAGAGAATTCATACGCCATCAACCTTGGGGGATAGGTATCCTTGATTAATCTTCTGTAAATTTAAAAGAAAACTACTTGTGACCCTTAGTCGACCAAATCCTTCGTTTGCGAGTATAAATAAAATACAATAAAAAAACTCATTTCTAAGATAAATGGAAAAATAAATAACAAAATATAAATAGAACAAATGCAATTTTGAGGATATCAACATCTCTTCATACTTTTTTACTGTATAAGAAATATACAGTAAGGGGCAGTATTGCGGTCGTGAAAATTTTCGAATATGAGTTTTCAACAGAAATACATGTTTTGCGGTCTCCTGAATCCAAATAACCAAGTCCCGCAAAATGGTCTCTGTGTGTATGTTTGTGGCAAGTCTACCTCAAAAACGAAAAGTCGTATGGAAGTGTAATTATATTTTTTATTTATTATTTATTTAAATGATATTTACAACTGTATACAAAAAATACATCTGGTAAATTCGCACATTGGTATAAAGACATGGAACACATGTTGAGAAACTACCCATTGGTAGCACTCTAGTAATTATATTTAAAATTTGTTTATACCTCAGATGTTACAGCAACTTTTTAGTCACGATCGGCTAAGTTCCACTTCAAAGATGAAACACATTTTTACTATTTTCTCGAAAACAGCTCCAACATTTTGATTGAATTCATTATATCAGTGTAAAATTAAGCAGTTTTTAATATCATGTAGGTTTTATTCTCATTGATGTTTTCTAACACAGCTTTAATGGCTAATTTTCAATATTATCTTCTTTTATAGTACCTTAAATTTTTTAAATAAACCATTTTAAATTGATCTATTATAAAAAATAGTTAAATATAAAATATGAAAGATAATTATATGATAACTAATACTGATTACTGAAGGAGAAATAAGAGATCGTAACAGCCTAAATGTTTTCGATGGTATTATTTAATATTTAATTATATAAATTAAAATGATATAAATATTAAATTACAAATTAAATTATGAATTGGACATTGTGAGTTCTCGCACTCCTACCTACTAAGAGGACTTGATCCTCCGAGCTGCAATGTCCAAAGGACAGTAAAGTACATTATTCAAGACTGTCCTTCATTTGAACCTACAAGGAAAAAGTTAGACATGGCACAGAGTCTAAAACAAAATCTACAAGACAGTGAAAGTGCAGTAAAAAAAACTTTAAGTTTTTAAAAGAGATAAAACTCTACAGCAGAGTGTAATTTAAAGGCGTTGCCAATGACCCTACAGGGTAGAGGCAACAAAACATCAAATAAATAAATAAATATTAACTTTTGCATACATATATATGGGTACTTAAACAAATAAAATATCCACAATGTAATATGAATCAATGTAGCGTTTATAATTTTTACTTTCACTTCCCCTTTGTCTGAAAATACTTATTTCTGCTAAGAAGAGGGTGGTAAATGAAAGTTGTGAATTGTCGCACCGCAGCAGATTTTTTAATTAATAATGTTATAAAGATATAGTACAGTTTCCCCGATCATCACATTTACCATATTTCATGATTCAATATTGTATAAAAAAAAAAAGAATAAAAACGAGTTTGGCTATTTTTGGGGACATGGCCGTGTTTTAACGTGATTAACGCCTATGTAAGAAGTAATGACTTCGAGAACATTTCGTCGCTTTCTTGAACTCTAACAAGATATTCCAAACTCGATGTTTTATTTTTTATAGCCGGATAGGAAAGACAAAAGCAAATATTGGGTTGTCCGAAAAATAATGCAGGATTTTGGATTAAAAAAAAAGAAGACTTACAACTGTTTTATTTAATCAAAATAGCAGTGCCAGCCTTAGACATTTGGTGCCCCTCGGGCAATGATGTCATCACCTCCCCTCCCCCCTATAAAAATAAATTTAGTTGTTAAGCTGTTTTATATTGTGTAATACCTGATTTTTTTTTTCATTCAACATTTCTCTAAAAGAGTTGCTTTATTTTCGGGCTAATTAATTAATTATTTGATTACGTTTTGAATTTTTTTTTTATTTCTAACGAATGGTGAGTACTCCTGAAAATCGGCCGGTGACTTCAACGGGCGCCCCTCCAGGTGGACTTTTGCCCCGGTTACCCAATCCTCAAGCCGGCCTTGCAAAATAGAGTGCACTACTAGCAATACATTTCTGTCAACGTGTTGGCAACTTTTCCATTCACTTGGAATATAATTTTCCATCTTTAGAATTGGTAAACTCCAAAAACGCATTATCTAATTCCTTTTGTCCATTAACTTTTTTGTCACGTAAGTAGTGGTCCAGTATGTAAAAAAATGATAATCCGTAGGGGAGAGGGAGCAGAGAGTAGGGCGGATGTGGTAGGATTTCATATCCAAGCTCCGTTGCCAAGCAACAAAATGGGCCCCTTTCGATTGACCAAAGATGGCTTCATTATTGCCAATTTCTGATGCATTGCATTAATTTGGTTACAATACGCTTCGGCATTGATGGTTTCTCCAGGATTTAAGAAGCTGTCGAGTATCAAACCAAATAAAGCCCACCAAACAGTAATCATCGCTTTTTTTTGATGAGTTGGGGCTTTGGAAAATGTTCTGCTCTTTCTCCTTTGTCGAGCCTCTGTCCAGAACGTCGGCATTTATCGTAAAGTATTCACTTTTCATCACAAGCAACAATTCTGGACGAAATGGGTCGTTTTTGTTCCGGTAAAAAAGTGTAGCATAAATTTCAAAACGCTGTTTTTTTTTAGTGGTCGTTTAATGTGTGTGAAACCAAACTTTCAAGCTTTTTTCCTTTATAATTGCCGTGAGGTGGTCATCGATGGTCGATTTGCTAAGGTTTCCCTGCAAGATTTCGAACAAGTTCGTTCTGGGGTTTTCTTCTACCAAATCCTGCAGAACATCGTCATCAAGAAAGGAAATACTTCCAAGATCTTCTTTGTCTTCAAGACTAGGGAAGTCTCCCTCCCGAAATGTTTTGAACCACCGTTGAACAGTGCACTCATTGAATGCTGCTCTCGCCCAAGACTTGATTGATGTTTCTGGCTCTCTGGGGGCCCATTCTGGCTAGTTTAATCTCGTAAAACAGAATTATACGAAAATCATGTGTTTGCATCTTACAAATCTGTTAATTAAGACTGGATTATTTCTAAGTAGAGAAATACTACAGAGGTAAACAGACATTATTGTTTGGAAGAGGAATAATAAGTGTTGACATTCATACAATTGAAAAATCCAGTAAACGTTTGTTAAATAGAAAGGATATTTTGAAGAAAACTCAAAATTCTGCATTATTTTCAGGACAAACCAATAATTGTTCAGAAATAATTTTATAAACGTTGACGCGAGACATAATTCAGATTTTTATATTTCTGCTTCGGTTTTCGAAACGCACCAACCGACATGTTCACATGTGGAAATTTAAAATATGAACTCACTTTAAAGTAACTGTTACAACGCTAGTATTTTCGATAATCTAAATATCTTGAAGAGAGCTTAAACTTAAATAAAGATCATAGCTTCTTCATCTCAAAATTTCTATTACTCAGAATTTATAAGAGCAGAGGCGGGAGGACGCCGCCGCTTAGAACACTCACCTTTTAAACCGCCCTGCCAAGTATAGGCGTAAATAACGCCAAGGAAACCAAGGACATTACCTTGGTGCGTAGGATCTCGGTGGACATCACAAGACATGAATTAAAGAACTAATTAAAATTGAAATAATTCCAGCAACATTAAGGAAAGATTTCAACAAGATATATTTGCTGATTGAATGTTGAATCTCATCAATTAGAAAAATATATAATGTATAAGGTATTATTTCAAGGTTAAATGGGGGCCCTAAGCATAAAAAAAACAACAACGAACTGTCAACTTGGAATCTAAAAAATTATCGTTTTGTTTTTAGAACTTTTTTTTTTGGAGGGGGGAGGGGTCCTCTCCTTCCTCGCCTTAAGGCTATATGGGGTTTTCTCGTGCCCTTTATGACTGCTAAGTCAGAACAAATTGACCCAGCCGTGAAGCCTATCAGTTTGACCACGCTGAGATTTATAAGTACATTGAACCTTATATTATATTTGCGTACAAGCATTATCTATTACCAAATTATCGGTCATTGACATGAGGAATGCTTATTTTCAAATAGAGGTTGAGGAACAGGATAAGGATAAGCTGACTATCGACTCACACGTGTGTTATTTAAGGTGTTGGCGGTTATGTTTTGGGTTTTATTTATTTATTTATAGAAACTCTACCGTATTTTTCATACAATACGGGTGTTTGCAGTAGTAAGATGTAAAGCACATCTTCATAACATCTCACTACTGCAAATAAAGCTTGATTATCTGTTCTGGATTACTCGATTCGTTTTCAATTCTATGGACTTCCATGTATTCCATTAGCTCCTCCTCTTCTTATTATATTGAAGTGGCCCTTAGTTTTTCAGAGGTTGTGCAGTCGACTAAAATGTACTCCGGATCACCCCAGCAAGAGCATAGGAAGCAGATGTCCCAGGTCTATGAAGCTTTGGGTTAAAAAAAAAATCCGTATTTATGGAGGGGCTATTAGAGGGTATTCCTAATATTTTGGTTATATTAGAAGACGTCTTAATCGGCGATTAGAAGTGGGATCTGCATTTTCAGAGAATGAAACAATTTTTCCAAAATCATTAAGTTAAATTATAACCTCGGCACCCCTTCAGTGTCCTCTGATATTGGGAAGCTACACGTTTGACCACTTAGCCCAGCCCTGCCTGAATGGGGTTTCTGTGGTATAAATAATTCCTTGATATAAGAATATTTTTTGGCAGGTATAACCACCCAGTAAGCTAAATTGATTCACCACTCATTACTATCACTTACCAATAGTGGTGAGTACAGTTGATGCGAAGAATATCGCCTGCAAGTGATTCCAACGAGCTAAGGATTCCGGTGTAGCGCCTTCGCTGATAGGAACCAAAACTCCCTTCTGAGCCGCCGCTTGGACGGAGGACTGAAATATATATTCATATTTAAAAAATATAAAATATCATTAAAATTATGATAAATTAATAAGGTTCATTTATGTAGAAATATTGATTTATACATGAACATGCCTGTAATGGAGTTAGGTCAGGACTTTTTAACATTTTATTCACAAGATGTATTTGCGGACTGATCATTCTCTTGAGAACAATAAAAAATAAACAAAATTAAAATGTGATTAAAATGAATAAATTTATACAAATTTTAAATGTGCCATTAAATTCTTACACAGTAAACATTCCTCACACAACTCGATCTATTATTAGTAATTTATTTGTTCAAGTAAAAAATAAATTAAATATCAATGCACTGCTCCAAATATCTCTGCATGGTCTAAAAAAAAGGTTTTTTATTTTTCAAAAAGTATCAATTTTTTAAAAAAGTTTTGATCAATATTAATAACTTATTCAGTTTTAGCAATACTTCTATGATCTATTTTCAAATAAATTTTAATTCAGTATGTCTCGCCACTGGGCAGAGCCGCTATAAACTAGCTGAGCATGAGCTCGGGAAAAATAATCAAATGATACTTTTCCATTTAATATTTCTCGTGTTTTATTTTTATCAATAATATTAGTATACAAGCGCAGCATCCTCTTTGGCATTCTTTGGTCTAGCATTCTTACCACATGACCTAACCATCTGATTCTGACTCTTTTTATCAATGCTACAATATCAGGTTCACCATAGAGTTCCCGCAGCTTCTCATTCTTCCTTCTTCTCCAAATTCCATTCTCAAAGATTCCACCGCATATTCTTCTCAATGCTTTCCTCTCCCAGGAGTTTAGCGTGCGTTCTGAGTTTTTGGTTCAGGTCCGAGTCTCACACCCATACATAACCACTGGCCTTACTATAGTTCTGTATATGAGAATTTTGATTCTTTTAGAGAGTGATCTGAACTTCAAGTCTCTTTGCAGTGAGAAATAGCATCTATTTCCTGCTGCAATCCTAGTGTTTATTTTACTCTCTATTTTATTATTGCAAGTTACCAGGCTTCCAAGGTACTTGAACTGGTCAACAGCCCTAAAGTTGTGATCCCTTAAAGTTATTTCTGTACTCATTTCCATTTCCATTTTTGAATTTTTCATATACACCGTCTTATTTTCATTAACCCTACGGCCCAGTTTAGCTGCTGCTTCTTCGAATTGCTGGAAAGTTCCTGATAATGCTGCTTGCGTTTTAGAGATAATGGCAACATCATCGGTATATGCCAGATGTTTAGACATACGATTGTAGATTGTTCCTCCTGGATTTGTTTGAATGTAACGAATAGCCACTTCCAGGGCGAAAGTAAACAGAAGGGGAGATAGAGGATCACTCTGCCTCAGTCCATTATCCACCTCAGATTCTTCGGACAGCGAATCTGCAAGTTTCACTCGACAGTTGGTCTTCATTAGCGTCATTTTTGTAAGTCTGACCAGTTTGTTGGGTATGCCTACATCTATCATAGATTTCAAAAGTCCCTTTCTGTCTACACTGTCGTAGGCCTGTTTGAAGTCCACAAAGAGAACGTGCATGACTAAGTTAAACTCATAACATTTTTCCATTATCTGTCTCAGAGAGAATATCTGGTCAAAAAAGTTAAAGTATCATGAAAATTAAACCTACTACTTATTTTATTATAATGACTAGAGTTCATTGTTTTACATAAAATGCCTCTCATTTTTTTTTTACATTACTTAATTAAGCAAAATAGCCATAATAATATAAAATATCCATAAGATAAACACTAAAATCTTGCTATCGTGTTTTTTAACACTTTTATTGTCTTTATTTTAGAAATTTTGAATGAAACAGTTTATATTTATAGCCAAATCAAAAATCAGTTTTTCCGGATTAATTAAAGAAACCATAGTAACTGTTTAACTTTGCAAAAGCGGTTTTAATTGCTAATTTGAACTAACAGTTTTGGTCATAACTAGATGACAAGCCTCTTCATCAACCGCTCAGTCTTTTCAAACATTCGGTATTTTTGGCTGAAGCGGAGTTAAATATAATCCTTCTGTTCCTCGAAGTGTGAATCAGAAGATATTTTTTAGTTTTTTAAAGTTCACTAGAAGGAAGGTGGCATGAGTCCAGAGAAGTAAGAAAGTGAAGGTGTCATGACAAATCTAAAGTGAAATAGAAAAATTAATTGGTGGATGTTTACCTTAAAAAAAAAAAAAATTACAAAAACTAAAATATATCGTAAATTAAAAATATTCTAAACTGTTTATCAGCACTATACGATTTTCAAGTATAAATTAATTCCAGGGTAAAACAAAACTATTTCTGTACGAATTCAGATAAGGAAAGAACAAACAAAAATCTGATGATGTACATGCATCACACAACTTTCACTAACCACCCTACCTTCAGTAGAAATATTTTCATATTTTAGGTATTTTCTTATATGTAGCTGTGAAAGTAAACATTATAGACTGTATAACACTAGCAATTATAACAAATAATTACTAAACCCAAATTATTTCCGGACCAAAAATATTAAAGGAAATAAACGAATGTTAAAAAACAATTGCTTATTGGTCAAATTGAAATACATTTTTAAATTTTTAAACTGTAACTTTGGATCTTTTGGAAAAATTCTAAGCTTTATCCAAAATATTTGCTGCGAAACAAATGGTTGGAAAAATAGTTATTAGTGGACATAGATAACTTCAGATCAACGTATTTAAGTAAATTTATAAACCGCTATATTAAACACGCAGCAGCTGAAGCCACTGTACATTTGATTATTTATTTTAATTAAAAAATAAATAATATTTAATAACGATTAATATAATTATTTAAATTGGGTTTTCCGTTCTCTATTTATGCCACCGTAAAAAAAAAAAAAAAAATATCGGATAGGAATTAAAAATTACAAATCCGGAGGATTATGTCGTTGTTGAAGATTGCAAGGAGTATTTGTGCCAAATTTGAAAAAAAAAAAATTGTACTGCGCACGAATAAGTACGAATTATCAAATAATCACGAAAATTAAGAGTGGAAACTTAACTAGCTTTATCTTATATGGATCATGAAATGATTTGCTATGGTTTTGGATGTTTCGCTACCTATCTTTTTGTGAAATGTTAGGGACCGTGATTTCATCATAAATCATTCAAGTAGAGTGATGGCGATCATGGTTTTCCACAAACACAGGGAGTTGGCTTGAAGATGTGACGAACTAAACAGATGGATAATAAATTGACTTTCGAATAATTCTGTCATTTCATCATCACCAGTTTATCCACAGACTATATGGAATGGTGTTATATCGCTTCATTTGGACGAATGGAATGATCGTGTATGGAGGGATCAATCAAATAGCTGTACAGCCAAGACCTTTGGGCACTTTGACATCAGAAGGACCATAAAAAAAGAGAAAAAGTAAAAACAAATGAAAAAAAAAAAAAACTAAACGCCTTCTTGATCCGCTTACCGCTTCATCTGTCACTGCTCAGGTGCTCCTTCTAGTATATTTTAATTAACTCATGTTACTGTTAAAAAATGAATTGTTATTGGGCTCGCCAATGTATTAAACCAAAAAGATTTTTTATAAATATAATTTACAAATCACTTAACTACAAACTAGGAAAACTATCTGTACCTTTAACATTGGCTGTAATTTTTTGCAATAATCGATAATTTTTTAAGTTGTAATACAATCATCAAGATTGTAGTTCATTGAAAAGTCGGTTAAACAAGGGGGCTGTTCATTAGAAGAGAGAAAGGGCGAAGCTGTAATGGTCAATTTGATATAGTTAACGATCCTGGCTAAATCCCAACTATGAAGGGAATGTGTCGCGCCAGCTAATCTAATCTACAACCGCGTCCTCAGGGTGTTTAACAATTGCCTCCACCGCTCTGCGTTAAGTTTAGTGGAACTGTTTATAGATCGTGCTGAAGCATTTAATTAGCAATTCGTTTCAGGTCTTCCTATCAGTGTTTTTGTGTGTTATAGTGCTTCTGCCACAGTGTCGGGTCTGCCAATTGGGTTCAATTGGTCTCAGTTCATCTATTAATTTGAATTTATGTTCGGGCATAACATTGTATTCAAAGGATATTTTCGATTGCCGTTATTTTTTTTTTTTTAAATGGGTCATTTTCTGTATTGGTTACAATATGATTTATGAAGATTTACAACAGTTACAATGCTGTTCTACTGTTAATACTGCTGTTCTAAATTAGATAACAGTTACTAAAACAGTATTCTTCATATAAATTCAATATTAAACATTCTTTCAGTACGAGTTTTAGCTGATTTCCGCATTAGAGCGGTTCAATCAATTGAATTTCAATCCCACAATCATATACAACAGATATTTCTTCCGAATATTAAATTTTTAATTTACTAGGATATAGAAAGCTATTACACATATAAAACAGACTCCTAATATTTTAATGGTAAATGTTAAGCAGGACTTTTAAAGCTATACGTGTAGAAAAGGGACTGGAGGAAAAGAAAAACACAGGGAACAATTAAGACAAGGCATATAGCTACTGACACATATAATTATTGAGAAAATATTAGAGAGTAATAGTAATAATATGTAGATAAAATAGTATAGTTCACAGGTGGAGACCATCTGGCCTCCAAACATTTTTGTGTAGGCTCCATTTATTTAGAATTAGAATTGGAACCAAGAGATGAACTATTGGAGAAAGATAATGATTTTAGTTTGTTGAAGAGGGTGGAATGGTTAATGATATCGAAGGCTTTGGAGAAGTCGAGAAGTATAAGGACAGTTAATTTTCTATTATCTATTGCAGTTTGAATGTCACTGGTAATTTTAATTAAGGCAGAGTGTGTCGATTAGCCGTGATAGAAACCAGATTGGAGGGGATCAAGTTGGTTGGAATTTTAGAGGAACTTGGAGACTTGGGATTGCACCAATCTTTCAAGAGGCTGTGAGAGGTTGAGAGAAAGACTTGAGATTGGGCGGAAATCTTCGAGAGAGGACGGATTAGTCTTTTTATTTAAAGGAAGAACAACAAGATATTAACATCTGATTTCTTCAAAAACGATTACAGGGGAATGGAAAACTAGAGAAGTGTGTACAAAAACATTCTATTGGTTTGGAGATGGTTGACCATGGATTCAATTTCAGAAGTATTTTTTTTTACATTGTCCAACGTTTTGAACTACGTTGTAGATCTTCTTCAGGGCATTCCGTCAACCACTGCTGAAGGAAGTTTGGAGTCTGGTAATTCAAGTCACTGCCTTCAACAGTGGCTGACGGAATGCCCTGAAGAAGACCTACAACGTAGGTCGAAACGTTGGACAATATAATAAAATACACTATTATATAATAAAGTATTTTTTGACCGTACCCCCGAACAACTATTTCTGAAAAAGAAAAAAAAAATCTGCAATTATTTTAGTGACTATTGATTTTACAATACCCACTTCGTACTGAAATTGTATAGGAAGGAAGATTATTGAAATATTATTACCGTATTTAATGTATGACATCAGAAATATGGTAGAGCCACCATTTGTCTGTTTAGTTTAGTATCAGTAACAAGGGTGCCCAGAAGGCGGTTTCATGGCGCAAATTGCGCCATCAAAATTTTTGAGGGGGCATATTTTGACGGCTTCTTGACGGGGGAAACTTCGAAGTGGTTATGAATTTTCGGTCTAAGGGACAAAGGTAAAACATGGAACAGACCGCAGCAAGTGTAATATATGATATACGATTTTTCTAATTTTCTATAATGCCATAGCTTACTCTGTTTTTAACAAAAAGGTGAGCAATAAAATATTTTGAGAGCAGGTGGGAGGGGTTAGGTTCTTGTGCTATTGACATTGGGAGGGTCGGGCACCCCTGATCTATAACACAACACAACTAACACTGTGCATGTGATGTCAGGAAATCACTTCAGGAAACAAATGAGGCTTAGTTGGTAAACTTTATATCACAACTACACAAAATACCTTTATTCCTCTACATAAACATAACATCTGACATAAGCATAACAAAGGATAACTGTCTGGGTAACCTCACCCAAGCCAACCTGCCTTTGTTTACAACAGCTACAGTGCTGCCAGATAACAAGCATTAACTCTACACACTCCCACCTTTACAATTTATGCTTTAAATTGTAAACTGCTTTAAAATAACAAAACAAATTTAAAATATACAATATAAAAATTTACAGGCTGAATCATTAATTTAATAACACTTAATAAACTACTTTAATAAATGTTTTATGCTTTCTTTTATAATCTTGATAAAATCACAGGCTAATAACAATTCTAGATGCACTACTCTTCTTAGCTGTTTTTTTTTTCTTCTCTTCCAGTTTTGGAAAAATTCTTTAGAGAAGAATGAAGAATTATTCGTAACACCAGTTGTTACTTGTATTCCTCTCCTTGTACTTTTCTGACTAAGATCTGGTTCATTAGGGAATACGACAGATCTGATACTATCTTTTGTGATGTTCATGTGAAGACTTTTTCGAGCTGCAGGTGTGATAGATGGTTTTACTCTAAGGGGTTGTATGACGCGTTGAATTATTGCCTTAACTGGTACTGATCCGGTCTTCTTGGTAGTGCGATCATCTAGACCTCTCCTTTGTAAACTATTGTAATGGGTCAAAGGTATTCCAGCTTGCCCTGAATGGTGAGACTCACTTGCACTAGACTGTAAAGGACTTCCTGTCATAGGTGTTCTTGGCATAGGAACAGGTCTGTGTTTTAGTTTGGCCAATGACTATCCAACCTAGCCTAGTTTCTGTGGCTATCAAATTTTCAGTTATTGGTTCTAACCTTCTTGTCTGGTTTTGTCCATTGGCATTTGCTGCAAGAATCAACTCTACTTCTTCCTTGTCTTTACCACCATCGCCATCGCTCCATGTTATATTCTTTTAATAATATATTCATCATTTGATCTAAGGATATCATTCAAATTTTTGTTTTCCAACTTAACTTCACCAGAAAATTTACCTGTTAAATTTTCAAGTTTGACATCGTGCGCAATTTGATTTGTTTCAACATCCCCAAATACATTGTATTAAAGTATTTCTTCCTTTTCTATCTGTAATTTTTCTGTTGAAGAACTGATAGATGTTGAAATATCATCATGCCATTTATTTATTTGAATACTAACCAAAGCATCAAATTTACTTTTTATTTTTATCTACTTGCCCTGATAACTTATAGATGCATCGAATTCATCCTCCAGTTCTTTTTCATCAATGTGTTCATCAACTAATATCAAAGCTCTTACCTTTTTTAAAAACTCTAATAGATGTTTAGCACTTCTAGATATCTAAATTCCTTTTTAAATTCGGGATCATTTTTAGCTATTTTCTTTTCTACTGAAGTAGATAAAGTTGTAAATAAATTTCTCCACTGAGCTCTTTCTAATTAGGCAGTTTTCAACTCTTTAACACTCATTATCCTTAATTTCCCACACACAAGAGAATACACTATTTAATATTAGGAAATTACTTCAGGAATCAAATAAGGATTTGTTAACTATTTGGTAGTTTTCAACTCTTTAACACTCATTATCCTTAATTTCCCACACAAGAGATACCACTAACTATGTGATGTTAGGAAATCATTTCAGGAAACAAATGAAGCTTTGTTGAAAACTTTTATATCACAAATACAGAAAACACCTTTATTCCTCTACATAAACATGACACAATCAGGAACAAAGGACTACTACTATCTCTCTGGGTAACCTCACCCAAGCCAACCTACCTTTGTTTACAACAGCTATAGTGCTGCCAGATAATAAGCATTAACTCTACAGTGCATACATTTTTTTAAGTAAATGAGTAACCTAGTGGGGGATGGGCAGCGACATTATGGACCGGTAAAAACATTTATGTGATACAGTAAATACTATAACCAAAATGACCATACCTCATATTTGCGGAGTTCATTCTCGAAGGTGCTGATGAAATTAGGATCCGAGTCGTTGTGTAGAAGAAGTACTTGGTCCAAAAAATTTTGCCTGCTGGTTTTCACAAGAAGGCCTGCGTCAGTCAACCTGGCGATCTCCGAGGGGTATTCTAGCTCCCTGAATACCTGTAGGCAACGTTATATTTCTTTCATTGATCGATAAAAAAAAAATTATAAATATAAAAGGTTTGTTTGAAATGTAGAATGGAACAACCAATGCATAAATATAAGTAGTTAATATTTAAAAAAATTGTAAAAAAAAAACACTAGGTTCCATTCATTCAATTTCTAAAGAAATAACAGAAAAAACCCCGAAATAATTGCAGATAAATAAATATTAATTATGGTCTATGGGCTCATATTGGTTCTAGCTACTGTAGAAATATTCCTATTGTTGCTCCTCCTTTCCGTTTACCAAGCCAACACTCCTTCTTCCATGACTAATATTCTTTTAACATACCGTGTCAACGTTCAATTATTCTTAGCCCATTTTGATGAATTTCTCCATAACTTCTACCATTTAATTGCCGTATCCGAAACCTGGTTGAAACCCAAATTCCCGTCTTCATAGATCCTCCTACCTAACTATACTCCCCTTCGTAATGACAGAGTAGATCGTATGGTTGGTGAAGTAGGTCTCTTTTTCCATGACAGTCTTTAATCCAAAACCCTTCATTGCTCTTCCTTAACCGATTACCGCACATTGAATACCTCTTTGCCAAAATCCTCACAACTTCATCTGCCATTCTGTTTGCTGTCATATATCGCCCTCCTAGAATTCCTTTTGATGAATCATTGAGACTTCTCTGTACAACTTAACTCCTTCCTACTCAAACGCCATCATCTCCGGAGACTTTATAGCAATTTACTGATGCCTTCCTCAGATTATAATTCTCTCAGCCTTTACACAGTACCCTACAACCAAACCTATCATACTCAATTCTCGGAGTTCTGGATCGATCTATTTATCCTTGATTCCACAGACAAACTCCTTGCCGCTTCTTAGCACCCGCTCCCGTTTCTATTTTCCTACGAACTTATCAAGATTTCTTATAATATCCCTGCCCTATACTTTTCTTCCCGTACAATATCTTTCCGAAACCTAAATTCCATCAGGTAACGCTGTCAAAAGATCTTTACGATATCCAGTGGGATCCCATTTACTCCTCAAAATCCGTCGACACCATGGTAGAAACCTTTATCACTCCTCTTCACTCTATCCTCGACCGACACGCTCCTCTTATCACAAAAACCATTCGACATCCTCCCGCTCCTTGACTTACTCCTACTTTGAGAGAGTGTATGAGAGAAAGAGCTGCTGCAAGGCGACGGTTTAAACGAACTCGACTTCATGAAGATTTTCTCCCCTCCAACGTTTTTACAAAACCACTTATATCAGATGGCATTCAATGTATATGGAACAGTAAATTTATGATTTTTTATAACCCACACAATTACTTCAGTTATGGCAGGTTTTTTCCGAGGGTTTGTAGTCATACGAATTCTTTTCCCCAACAAGATAAGTACAATGTATAACGCCATAATAATAAAATAATGAAGTAAGTATGCTATATATTTTCCCATAAACTGGCATAAATATATACGCAGTATTGTAGAAGACCAATTATAAACAAATTTATCGAAACATTTTAAGAACAGTAAATCAACTGAATCCATAACAAGCTTGCTGCCAATATATAAATTATCATAAAATCAATGAGAAATGGAAGAAAGTGTTCAATTTTACTCTGTTAATATTTCCGAAATATTTCGATGAGGTGTCCTTCGAAAGATAACATTTTATCGGTTAACCTTTGAAAAGATCTGACACATTTACAAAGGCTTGTAACAACAGATATATGGAGCGTCCAAAAGTGTTCCGTTTCAATCCGGTCTTGGCAGCTGTCCAGTATTGGTTTCTCAATTTAAGATTCCAGCTAGCCATATCTTCTTACCCACCAAAATTTTATGATTTTAAGTTATAATTCTAAAAAAAAAAAAAAAAAAACGAAAAATTCATTCTCCAACTAACTACTTTGCTATACTGACACTGTTGGTGCGCAGGTCCGGGAGTAAGCCACGTAGGGAACCTCTAGGCAATACTAAGCTCGGCGTCCTCAACCCTTTTCTATTCGATATGATGTATGTTGTATGACAGAATTTGGATTTGGGAGTTTGTTGAGGGTACGTAATGGAAAAAACAACTAAAAAATCCCGCCACTACCCCTGCCTCTTCATGATTGGAGGTGCTGGAAACATCATTTTTATTTTGTCTTTTGACTCGAAAACGGTACGCCATAGAAAGACTTGTTTTATAAATTAAAGCTGTTAGAATTTCCTCTCAGAATTTTCCTTCATATTTCTCCAGACATTTAAAATCTTAAATCGACCACTTTCGGACAAAATTAATTTTAACCACATATTTTTTGTCAAACTCATCTTTCTAAATACTCAGCCTTTTTACCTCTCCGTCGCATTTTAGGCTTATGGGTATTTTCCCTGGTCAAGAGGGAGGGTGAGGGATTAATACCAGATTAAAGCCCCCTGCCACCGGAAGTCGAACTCGTAATCAGCCTTACGTTCTCCAAGACTAATTGATTACAAAAAAGTTGTAGAAAATTATATTTCCATCAAAAGTATTGATATAAAAAAAAAACTGTACTATTACAATCCATGAAGGGTATGGGGTTCAGAATTTTGTAAGGAAGTACTGTTTCTTAGTCAACCCTTATGCAAGGAGGTGATTTGACTGAGATCACGCTCAACCGGGAAGTTTTTCTCTCATAATCAGTTATTTAATTAAGGGTACCCACATTATAGAGAATGGGTGTGCCCTAGGAGGGCCACCCGACTCCAGGGTCTATCCACGGCCGACAGAACAGAATAAATGGTTCATCTGCCATCAGCCGGACTCGAACCTGAGATCTTGAACATTGGAAATCGGCACCCTGCCACTTAGCTATCCCACACCCTCAATGTTTATATACTTTCGCTAATTTATCTTCAATGTATCAAGTTCAAAAGTTACTGCAGTTATAAATATTTGGTAAATTTCGTGATTGTATGTAAAAAAAACTGTGCTTTAATTACTTTCGTTATTTATATTAAATAACTGTAGTCTGACCTACAGTCCATATGTGATAATAGGCTAAGAAAAAAACTGAAAATAAGTTATCAATGAAAATATGAATATGATAATTTTTTTAAAATGTTTATTCAGCTTTTTGTTGAGAAACAAATTTTTCCCAAATAATGCTTTTTTAAATATGAAATCATACTTTTTAGAAAAAACATTTCTAAAAAAATATATGAAATGATATTAACATTATAAGCAATTTAAATAATTTTCACGCAAACAGTTTTTTTTTTGTTTAAATGAAAGAAAACCTAAAGTAATTGGTTTGAAAAGAGGAAAAAAAAACCAACTAAATTTTATAATATCACTTTAACAATTACCACCATAGCTTATTATAACAAGTAAAACTTAATGGGTTTTTATGACTGTAATTTTTTTTTCATATATTTGAAAATGGCATTAAAACCGAAGCTTTATAATACAAGGGAGTAAAAACTTCTTGTTAAAAACCTTTTTAATTAGTAAAATAAAATTGTGGGAGTAAAGTGATCTTTTGTAAAACATTAATGGTTTATTTATTAAATGTAATAATTACATCAAGATTCCCCAAAAAATGAAAAAAAAAATTTGTATTTATCATAAAAATTTTTGTTTCACATTTCGGTTTTTGAAAC